TGCAGTGTGTTGTTTGGTTTGGATGAAAGAGTGGATGTTGTTGAGAAATAGAAGTCCTTTGGACAGCCTGAGAATTGGGTAGCATAGATACTTGTGGCACAATGAAGGTAAGGATAATGTAGAATTTAACAATCATTATGATAGCTTGCCATACTGAGAATATGGAACATACCCAGCTTCTGCCCCAAAACACCTTTGTGACTTAAAGTTCAAGAAGCATTTCATAGACAGGAAATAGAAATAAAATCATATGGCTGGAGGGGAGTTTGTAGAACTCCTAATAGAAGGTGGGAGACCTTATACCATTCTAGTCAGATGGTTGTTCCATCTTCTCTTGAAGATCTCCAGGGACAGAGCAGCCATAACTCTGGAGGGCAAGCTGTTCCATTGAATTGTTCTCACTGTTGAGAAATTTTTCCTGAGTTCCAGATTGGGTCTCCCTCTGAGGAGCTTCCACTCATTGCTTCTTGCTTTGAAGAATAAGTCAATCTGTGACAGCCCTTCAAGTATTGGAAAATAGCTATCAGGTCTTCCCTAAGTCTTTTCTTTATTAGGCTAAACATACCTAATTACCTTAGCTATTCATTGCATAGTTTAGCCTCCGGACCTCTTCTTGTCTCCTCTGAAATCTTTCTAGTCTCTAAATATCTTTTTTGTATTGTGGTGACAAGAACTGGACAGAGTTTTCCTCACTAGGTATGACCTCACTAATCTGGTATAAAGCAGTACTATCACTTCTCATGATCTTGATGCTATCCATCTGCTGATTGAGCCTAGGATTGCTTGTAGTTCCATGGTGGGTACAGTGGTTCTGAGATGACATCTGCCAGCTCCTTTAGAACTCTGGGGTGTAATCCATCAGGCCCTTTGATTTGTATTCATCAAGATCAAACAGGTGTTCTCTAACCATTTATTTTGCTTATTTTAACTTTTATTTGTACTGTCTTTTACAATTATGTTTTTGGTAGGTTGGGCCATAGTTTATTTTTGTGTGAAGACCGATGCAAAGAATGAGTTAAGCAGCTCTGCTTTTTCTCTGCTGCCTGTTACTTCTTTGCTGTCTTCTCTCTTTAGTGGACCAACTGTTTCCTTAATTTTTGTCTTGTTATTTATATGTTGGAAGAAACTTTTAAAATTATCTTTGACTTTTGTTGCAACTCTTTGTTCATTCTGAACCTTTGCTTTCCTGACTTCGTCTTTGCAGATTTTGGCTATCTGCTGATATTCTGCCTCAGTTATGTGTCCTTCTTTCCATTTTTTGTACTTGTCCTTTTTGTCTTTCAATTTGTCAGAGAGATCTTTGCGCAACCATGCTGGTTTCTTCTTGAATTTCTTGTTTTTCTTTTTCAGTTGTATTGTGCTGGTCTAGGCTTTTATGATCATATTTTTCAGAGCTTCTTGAGTTGTTTTCCCCTTTAGGATTTTCATCCAAGGAATCTTTTCCAAGTTCTCTCTAAGTTTATTAAAATCAGCTCTTTTAAATTCTAGGGCTTTGGTATCATTATGTTTTATTGTTTGTGTTTGCATTATGTTGAATTCTAGTATGACATGGTCTCACCCAAGGTTCTTGCAGTTTCAACTCCCTCTATCTCTCATTCTCTGTTTGTAAGAATTAAGTCCAGTATGACTGCCCCTCAAGTTCCCTCCTCTATCTTTTGGACAACAAAGTTGTCCACTAGGTTGGCCAGGAACCTATTCAATTTCTCAATGGGTGCAAAATTAGTCTTGCAATTGATGTCAGGGTAATTGAAGTCCCCCATTACTATTGTAGTGTGTTTCCTACATATATTTGTTAGTTGGTTGGCAAAAAGTACATCTATTTTTTCTGCTTGGTTGGGTGGTCTGTAGCATACACCTATGGCCATGTCATTCTTTTTTTCTTCTTTTATATTGACCCATATTCATCCATATGCAGATGAAAAACAAGTGAAAGAATGTATGATAAAATGAGGTTAAATGTTGATTACAGTATACAAATGGATCAATGGGAGAAATTATTAGATTTTTACCCCACCTTTATTATTTTATGAGAAACTCAAGGCAACAAACATACCTAATATTCCTTTCTCTCATATTTTCCCCAAAAGAACAATCCTGTGAAGTTGGTTGAAGTGAGAAAGAATGACCAGCCCTAAGTCACTCATAGCTGGCTTTCATGGCTAAGGCAGAATTCACCATCTCCTGGTTTCTAGGCCAGCACCTTAACCAGTGTAGTATACTGGATCTCAATATTTCATTATGCAGTGTGAATATGTGATTGAAAGGATTGAAATTTACAATATGTTCTAATCTTAAAGAATTTTTTTAATCAAACCATCTATTATTGGTATTTGTCACCAAAGAAATTGCTTGTAATTCAGGTACTCTGAATCTTTGCTGGAGATGTAAATGAATGGAGATTTCAGCATCTGATAGATGTCTAGAAAAGCCAACAATATGTAGATACAAATATATACATTAATTCAGAAGATTTTAAAGACTAAAATCTAAACCAGACGTTTGTCTTTTGGGACTAAAGAAGAGCAACTAGAAAAAAAGTCACTAGACTTTTATATATGACACCGGTGGTGAGATTATTATATGCCCCAAAGTGGAAAGATGAGATGCTACCACAATGGCGGGACAGTTGGTTGTATTTATGTACAGTCAATGTATTTATGATTTGTGGTTTTGAAGATTAGGGGAAAAAAGGTTTTAAAAAGTGAGCTTGTATTGTAATTTGAGATTAAGGGATAACTTTGTAATAATATTTGCATTTGCTACAGAGGGAATTTGAAGTTTCTTTCTACTGCTTTTTATCCTTTCTTTTTTCTTTCTTTCTTTTCTTTCTTTTGCATTATTTTTATTCTCTTAAGAATATTTTATATTCATTTAAAACTTTTAATAAAATGTACATATTAAAAAAAGAAATCAATCAATCTCAAATGGCTAATTTATCATAAGGTACAACAATTTTGTCAGAAGGAATGTAAGATAAGATCAGAAGATATGATGGCAGAGGGAAACGTTTATCAATGCTTTTCTTATGTTCTTATGTATTAAAAAGATTTAATGTAGATACAAGAACATTTAGGTTTGAGCATTGCAATATTGAGGTTGAAGCAGAATTGTGTATAATGAATATTTAATTGCTAAAATGTATAAACTGCTACTGAAATTTGAAGCAGAAGAAAAGAGACTTTGAATGGGCAAAGATGGAGAGGTTCAGTACTGCCACAATGGAGAAAATTATGGGTGAAGATGATGAAACTTTTGAGGTTTCTTTGAACAGAGAAAAGACAATGCTAACAAGGCATCTCTGTAATTTTTTTGCATGAAGTGGAAAAGAAAGAACATTTATGCCTTTGATGATTAGAATAGATTATAGAAAAAACTGAGTTACACTATAATCATAACGCAGGAGGTAAATTTATAATTCTACTTATAACTGTTCTAAAGAAAACCAGGAGCCACTTTGTATTTTCTTTCTTTTTTTGCACTTTTAGTTATTTCATTGATCTCTCTCTCTCTCTTCTTTTTCTCTTCATCTCACTTTATAGTAATTTCTATAAGTTTTTTATCTTTTTCTTAAAAGTTTTAATAAATTCTATTTTAAAATGGGAAATGTTGGCTCCCATCTTGAATTTGGATGAGGAAGCTACTTGCGTTCTGAGTTTGCTAAGGCCAGCCAAGTCCTTGAGGCAGAGTCTCCCCGCAATAAGGAGTCCCCCTTCTCCTGATTCATGGCACTTTCGGGAACCGATCTATGGGAGACAAATACTGTAGCTCTAGAAGCCATATCACAACCATCTGCTCCAATGCTTCACTCCGTGAGTGTGTGAACACAGATATGCTCATGCATAATATGCTTACAGAGAGTGGGTTGCAGTTCTTGTGCAAAGGAAGCTGTCATCATAATCTTATTCACAAGCCTTAAGCAGAGGAACATGAAACACTAACACAAAGAAGAGTTTTTTTAAAAAAAGATTAATCTTATTTATTCATCACATTTCATCAGTATAGTCTCTAAGTGGCATGATATAGAAGTTTAAAATTCTTCAACAAAAAGAATCAGCTAAATGTAGGTAAAGGTTCCCCTTGCACATATGTGCTAGTCATTCCCAACTCTAGGGGGTGGCGCTCATCTCTGTTTCAAAGCTGAAGAGCCAGCACTGTCTGAAGATGTCTCCGTGGTCATGTGGCTGGCATGACTAAACACTGAAGGTGCACGGAATGCTGTTACCTTCCCACCAAAGGTGGTTCCTATTTTTCTACTTTTTATGTGCTTTCGAACTACTATGTTGGCAGAAGCTGGGAAAAGTAACGGGAGTTCACTCCATTACGCAGTGCTAAGGATTCAAACCACCAAACTGCCAACCTTTCTGTTCAACAAGCTCAGAATCTTAGCCACTGAGCCACCGCATCCCTCTAAATTTAGGTACAACATAATAATAATAAAAAGATTCCACAAAGATTTTCCACGTATTGAAGCCAAGAAACGGATTTCAGCTTCTGCACTTCATTTCCTTGACTTCTCTGTGCACAGTGGGCTCTTGGTGGAGCACCAGTCTGACTTTAATGCAAAATCAATGCAAGGAAAGTAGCAATCACCAAGCAGCCACTCAGCTGCTGAAGTGCTGAAAGAACCCAAACACTCTTCAATTTAGCTCCTTGAACTTCTGACTTCTGGTGTCTTTCTCTCCCAACGTTTACCCCTCTTGTCCCCTTTGGCACCTGAAGTATTTGGCACCCTGACTCACAGCTGGTTTACCAACACCCTCACTCACTTCCTCACCCACCATCCTTCCATAGTCTCTGCTGCCCTTCACCCTTAAAATATGTTTTCCCATTAATTTCTCCATCACTGACTTTCCTTCCTCAAGTCCCCATTTGGGACCAACAGTCAATCTGGGGCTTCCATGAACTTGCAGTTCCCATGGACTTTGGACCCAAGAAGGATGGCTTCTCACCAGTTCACTTGCATAAAATCCTTCATCGGACAAAACCCCACCCAAACTCACCTTTCTTAGTGGCTTCAAAGCTATCGTGGAAATGTATCCTCTGGATATCATAGGTTAAGGTTGTGTTGGGTAACAAAGTCCTATTCCGGTTGATGATGTTGGCTGAGAATCGGAATGCTTGTTCCTCGGCGTTCATTACCTGGGCATTTGGTCCATCGGCATATTCAAAGATTCCTCCTGCAAGACAATTACAGACTGTCATGGCCACCTGCAATTCCAGTCAGGCCCAAGCAGAGATTGCAGTTCCAGAAGAAGAAAAAATGTGAAGATACATGAACCCTCAAACAGTGCAATAAAAAACTGGTTTAGGTTTAGGGCAAAAAATGGCCCCAACAGGCCAACTGGAAGCTTGGGAACAAACTTCCAGTTCGCCTGTTGGGCCTGTTTTTTGCCCATCCCAGCCTCCGGAGGCTATCTTGAAGCCTAAGGAGGGTGATAATGGCCTCCCCCAGCCCTCTGGAAGCCAGAAACGGATGTTTCTGAACTTCCAGTTGGCCCATTGGGCCCGTTTTTTGCCCTCCCCAGGCTTCAGGAAAGCCTCCGGAGGCTAGGAAGAGCAAAAAACAGGCCCAACAGACGAACCGGAAGTTCAGAAACCATCCATTTTGATGCGTACACATGCACAAGTGAGCGGGCAGGATTGAATTGGTGTGGGCACACATGTACATGTGATAGCACATGCACACACAATTTTGGCACGCCATAAGAAAAATGTTTGTCATTACTGCCCTAGGAAGTGCAAGAACTGCCCTTGCCTCCACAATCTGCATCAGCTGAAGCTTCCAAATGTTCTCCAAGGATAGCCGGATGTAAAGCGCATTGCAGTAGTTCAGAAGTGAGATGACCAGCACAGGGAATATGTCTCAGACAGATACAAACATAGTTGTTGTTTGTCCTTGGCTTGTGCCTATGTAGTCATGTGTGGGAATGACCTTGGGAAATAAGGGGATGGGATGCCACCAAAGAGGAGGGAGACCACAACTGAACAACAGGTAGAGAAAGAAACTTAGAAAGGATCTGCTCAAAGTTATCAGAAAGTAAAAAGCAACAGCGAGATATTTGTATTTTCAGACTTACAAGATTCTGTTAATATAGTCATACAATAAAGTACAGTTAGCTCATCTGGTCATGTTACTTGTCTGGTCTACTTGGGAGTCTGACAACCTACTGTGTGACTAGTTTCCATTCATCTACCCTGTATTTACTTCAATATCACAGAATGTACAACATTCTGTTTTGCTGTCCATTCTTGGACTGAAATGCCCTATTTTTAACTAACACTCCTTTGCTATAGATACTAATCATCTAAACAGAATTAATAGGCCTCCTTCAGAATCAACTGCTGTGCTGGAATTATAGACCTCAATTCAACCTCTGGATTTTCTGGAGTTCTAGAAAATTTTTCAGTGATGTTCCTAGAAGAATGTCTGAAATTGCAAGGGGTGGGGTGGAATAAGAGTTTTCTAACTCTTTGTTTTGTTTGAAAAATTGAGGGTGGGAAAACAGATTATTACCATTTCCTTCCTTAATTCTCACAGTCCTCTCTCTGGGTGGCTCAACAAGAACTGCCATCAATTAACCAATTTTGCTGCTAATTTTCAGTGGCACACTCTGGTGTGCTCTGGGTGTTATGTGAGCTGCCCACAACAACTAGTGAAACACCGGGAAATCATAGACAAGGCAACTGAGTTCAAGGCTCTTCCCCAGTGCAGCATCCCAGTCAATGTCAGAGTAGCCTCTGTGTGAATATATCCACTGAAGGAGAAACAATTACTTTGGTCATCACCGTATATGGACCAGGATTTCTGACTGATCTGCCTAAGAAAATCAATCAATGTCAAACCCAAAAGTGTCTTTATCTTTCTAAATGGAGAAAAAGCAGGATCCGACATAATAAATGCAAATATCATAGATATTATGAAAGAAGAATGAGAAAAGGGACTACATAACATGGAGACAGGCTTCAGTTCTCCTCCTGGTTTTATGTTCTTCCGGCAAGCACACCAAGCTTCTCTTACCCTTGCAATTCACCCCTGCTGCTGTTCCACTCTTCCTTTTTAGAGCAACATTAAAAATAGAGCAAACCCTTCCAGCCGGTCTTTGCAGGCCATTCTTGAGGCATTCAGATTCTGAGGCTCTCTTCAGAACAAACAAAGCAATCTTAGCAAAGTCTTAGCTCTGAAAGTTGCATTTTGCTGCCATGGATGGACAAACTAACTTCTCACCATTGTTACAGAAGAAGACAGAAATCTCTGCAAAGGCTGCATCCCAAGAATCTCCTGTAGAGATATCCCAGCAGTTTCCAAAGACATTAGAAGACTGTTCTAATCTTAAGATTATTATTGCTTCAACCCTCATTGGCTTAGGCCTGAGACCCCTGAAATTAGTTCTAGCCTGGATCTCTCTTTAATCATTACTCATTACTTCTCATCTGTCCTCAGGTGCTTTGGAGAATAAGCTGAATTCCTCTTCACTGTCACAACCCCTCAGATATTTGAAGACTGCTATTGTATCTCTCCTAGTCCATCTTTTCATTAGACTAGATGTACCCAGTTCTCGCAACTGTTCATCATATGCTCCAGACCCCTAATCATAGATTCAAACAGGCTCTTTGGGGATCTTTTCTTCTCTTTTGAAGCACCTCTTTCAAAGGAATTCAAACACCTTTTTTGAACTGATTTTTAATCAATCAGAATAGACTGGAAGGGAACTTGGAGGTCTTCTAGTCCCACCCCCTGCACAAGCAGGAGACCCTATGTCATTTCAGATAGGTGGCTGTCCAATCTTAAAAACCTCCAATGATGAATCTCCAACAACTTCTGAAGGCAAGCTGTTCAACTGGTTAATTGTCCTCACAGTCAGGAAGTTTCTCGTTAATTCCAGGTTGTTTCTCTCCTCGATTACTTTCCATCTATTCTTTTCTTGTCTGGCCTTCTGGTTCTTTGGAAAATAAGTTGACCCTCCCTCTTCAGACAGCTGTTTTACTCCATTATTTTCTAACAGACCAAGCAACCTCTTGGCTGATATTCTGCTTCCAGCATGTTTCAATTGTTAGAAATTATTCTGACCTTTCTGTATTTACTAACACAGTTCTACTTTCTTTGTTTATTTTCAGGGCTTAAACCTCCTTGATTCTGTGCCTGAATCACACAATAAGCTTTTGTCACCTTCAAGAGTCCTGCAGTGATTAACTTGCATTCCAATTTCCCTTTTAACTAATTCCTCCTCAGGTTATGTAATTCTGAAGTTCACCAGGCTGTCGCTGAATCTAATCTTAGCAGTTTCCACTTTCCAGCCAGTCTTGCCTGATCTACTTCTTGTCATGGGTCAAAGTGACGGGACCAGAATCTCTCTCCTCTGCTAAATTTTGTGACTTATTGAACTAGATCTCTTTCTTGCTGTCTGGTAAAAGGGTGCTAAGCCTTCTCTTCTCATTTCCCCATCTCAACATAGCAGAAAAGTGGACTACAGTTTAATTCAAAGGTTTTAATTTTTTAACAGCATTTCTTCTAGACTTGAATTAGTTTGTGGTAGAAGTTAGGGATAGAAAAGAAACAAAAACATACCTCATTTTTCAGAGTATAAGACACACCCTTTTCCCTCAAAAAAGAGGCTGAAAATCTCGGTGCATCTTATACACTGAATACAGCATTTTTGCCTCCCTAAACCCCCTTCACCAAAATGGCCATGCAGAGCCTCTAGGAAGCTTTCAGAGTGCTCCTGGGAGCTGGGTAGGGCAGAAATGAGGGCAGAAAAATGGGCCTTTTTCAATTATGCCCCCCCAGCCCCCAGGAGCACTTTATAAGCCTTTTTTTGCATGCCCCTTTTTTGACCAAAAATGGGCTAGTTTTCTCAGAAAAATGGGTAGTGTTTGACTTGTTTTTGTGCTAGCCCCAGGAGCACTCTACAAGCCTCCTAATGACTATTCATGTCCTTTAAAAAAATGGGCTGTTTTTGGGAGGTCTGCAGAGTGCAAAAACTTTGTTTTTAAACTTGCCTCTTCAAAATCGTAATACATCTTAACATCTTAATACTCTGAAAAATATGGTACCTTTCTAAATGCCTCTTCCCTCCCAAGTGTATTTTAAAGAAAGGCCCTTTCATGTGAGCTTGAAGTGCACAAACCATTACAGTGTTAGAATTATTGGTCATCATTAATTGATGCCAAGGTTTCTGGGTTTCAATGGGACACTCTACTTGCTCTAACTTCTGAAAGCAGAAATTGCCCTAAACCCATTTCTATCTTACTAGACCAGTGATGGGTAACCTTTTTGTTGTTGGGTGCCAAAAATGCAAGGGTGTGTGGGAAGTTATCATCCAGCCCTCTCCCAGAAAAATGAAATATCTTAGGAAATATTGAAAAGGCAGAATATTTCTCTGGATGTGAAAAGAAACATGTTTTAAAAGACAGAATAGTTGCCTATAGCTTTCTGCCCATCCCCAGCTAATGGGCCATTAAGATGGCCAGGATAGCCCACTTTACATAATAAAGACTTCTCCTCACTGCAGCTGTAGGGGGAAGGGATATTACTCAACTCTCCACATGACATCTGAGAACTCATCTATACCTGGACTCATCACAGCCTAGAGAGTAACCCCCTGCATGGCACCATGGGAGTCTGACAACCAGTCAGAATACATTTCTTACACAGGAACAGGAAACAGAGAGGTGGGACTAAACAGGGTATAAAAAGCCTAGCAAGCCCCTTCCTCAGCCTTCTCTCTTCTTCTCCATCAACCTTGAAACCTTGTGATCACCTTTTCTGTACAGGGCTCAAGCCATGTGGCCCTGTCCAACAATAAACCATCTTTCCAAGCAGCCTCCATGTCTCCAGTGTCTTCTTCCCCACTTGGAGCTGAACCCAAAAGGACATTTCTTTCAACAGGTGCATGCGCGATAGAGCGGGTAAGTGCCAGCACCCATAATGCAAAGCACACCCCCACAAGCACATGCATGCACAACCCTCACACACATTCCCCCCACCACATGCGCCGCACTACTCGCTGCCAGGCTGAGCTTGGTATTTCCTCCATGGGGCCAGGAGTGGCCATTTTCGCCCTCTCCAGGCTCCAGAAAAGCCTGGGAAGGGTGAAAAACGTGCCCAATGGGCCAACCAGAAGTTCGGAAATGATCCATTTCCGGCTTCTGGAGGGCCTCTGGCTGAGGGAGCCCGTTTTCCCCCTGCCCAGGCTCCGAAGGTTTTCCTGAAGCCTGGGGAGGGTGAAAACTGCC